AGGCCTTCTCAGAAGGCGGCGGGGCTCCCCAGAAACCCTCGCGCCTTCCGAGAAGTTTTTTCCTGTCCTCGAGGGAGGCTCGGAAAACTCCTCAGAAGGCGCGAGGGACTTCCGAGCCTTCCGAGAAGGCCTTCTCCCTCTCACTTCCCCTCCTCGCCCGCCGCCGACAAGCGCACTCGTTCTATGTGTGTGCGTTGGCCCCCCATGGGCGGCGCGTGCGCGGGCTCAGAAAGATCGTGCAGCACTACGCTCGGCGGCGGGCGCTCTCTGGCCGTATACCGCCCGGGCAAGGGTATGACGTTGTCGGATGCCTGCGCTGCGTGTGCGCTTCGGAGGTGCTCCTCCAAGGGGGGACGCACAGCACTAGCATGTCTTTCTGCGTTCCAGTCGAGGTGCAATCGGCGCAAGAGGTGTGGCCCCTCGTGAAGGTTTCCTGTGGCAGGCTCTTGGCCGTAGCTTTCGGAGGGGGGCGGACGGCCTGAAGCAGCGCACCGTCAGGGAGCGCGAAATCCCCTGCACTGGGCCTCGAGTGTCGTGCGCCCTGCACACACTGCTTTTTTCTTGCAGGAGAGGATCGTCCTTGAGGCTCGAGGTTTCGCTTGCCTCTGGAGGACCTCGAGGGATCTTGGGATACCAGTGCGTGAGGCCTCCATCGTGGCCAGCCCTGCAGTGGCCTCGGAGCAGCTCGGCCAGCCGGCGCGCTCTGCGCAGCTCGTGTCGGGGCTGAAGAGACGGAGGTCCATGCAAACGGGGGTCAGCCAGAGCACCAGATCTTGCAGGATCCTGCAGAGACAGGGGCGCACTGACCCGGGTTTCGGTGCAGCATCCTACAGGATCCTGCAAGGCCTGACTGACCCGGGTTTGCATTGACCAGGGTCAGTGGAAGCCCGATCGCGCGCGAGAGTTGTCGGGGGAGGAAGCGCCGGATCTCCGTTGTGCGGGGACCACTCTCGTGCGCACCTGCTACTTGACGGGAAGCCTGCCCTCGGCAGCAAGGTGCCCCGCGAGAGGGCCAGCGGTCTTAGCGGAGGCGAGAAGCAGCGGCTGGCCATCGCCAGGTGCCTGGTGAAGAACCCCCCGGTGGTGGTGCTCGACGAGGCGACTTCGGCGCTGGACTCGGAGACGGAGCAGCGGGTGCAGCAGGCCTTGGAGGAGCTCAGTGACGCCAGGACATTTGGGGATAGTTACCCTGAGATCTGGGCGTTGCCATTTTTTCGCGGGCGTCTTCGACCAGCTTCGGACCCCAGGATCCTCACGGATCGGTCCGCCTCGAAGCCTGCCGCAGACATATGGGGTCCAGGGCTCCGGTCGTGTTTTTTCGCGAGGTCGCATGTTTTTCGCAACAATTTGTCGGCCGCCGCCGCCGCCGCCGCCGCCTCCTCCTCCTCCTCCTCCTCCTCCTTCTCCTTCTCCGCCTTCTCCTCCTCCTCCTCCTCCTCCTCTTCCTCCTCCTCCTCCTCCTCCTCCTCCTCCTCCCTCTCCCCCTCCGCCTCCCCCTCCTCCTGCTGCTCCTCCTCCTCCTCCTCCGCCTTCTCGTCCCCCTCCTCCTTCTCCTCCTCCTCCTCCTCCTCCTCCTCCTCTTCCCACTCCTCCTCTCCTCCTCCCTCCTCCTCCTCCTCCTCCACCTCCTCCTCCTCCCTCCTCCTCCTCCTCCTCCTCCACCTCCTCGTCTCTTCCCCCTCCTCTTCTCCTACTCCACCTCCTCCCCCTCCTCCTCCCCCTCCTCCCTGCTGCTCCTCCTCCTCCTCCTCCTCCGCCTCCTTCCTCCACCTCCTCCTTCCTCTCTCCCCTCCTCTACTCCTCCTCCTCCTCTCCTCCTCCTCCTCCACCTCCTCCTCCTCCTCCACCTCCTCCTCCTCCTCCTCCTCCTCTTCCTCCTCCGCACTCTCCTCCTTCCCGTCCTTCCCTTGTTCTTGCTCCCGTTCTTCTCCTCGTGCCGGGAGAGGGCGCACCCGGCGTGCCGACGCGGCGGACCCTGGCGCGGGCGCTCGGCTCAAGGTGGAGCGCAGCCAGTGGCCTGGAGTCGGCCGGCATCGCTAGCGATCGCTCGGGGTGCCGCGATCGCTAGGGGTTTCCCTGAGGTCCTGGCGTTGCATTTTTTGTACAACGGGCGTTTTCGCTCGATTTCGGGCCCCGGGACCCTCACAGATCGATCGGGCTCGAAAAATGACGCATAAAGATGAGGTCTGGGGCTCCGGACGTGATTACCTAACAGCTGTTGCTGATAGGTTTCTAGTGGTGTCAAAAGAGAGCAGCAGATGACTCCACAGGGGCGTCGGGGCGGGACCCGGGGAGGCTGCCGCCGACTGCCGTCGAAGCCCAAATCGCTTGGGACATCCTCGCAAAATCGCTCTTGGCGCTGCTAGAACTCCATTCCCGGGCCACATTTTGGATGCCCGGAGCCAACTGTAGGCCACTTCGTGCTCTTCGACTTCCCAGAACTCCATTCCCGGGCCACATTTTGGATGCCCGGAGCCAACTGTAGGCCACTTCGTGCTCTTCGAGTTCCCAGAACTCCATTCCCGGGCCACATTTTGGATGCCCGGAGCCAACTGTAGGCCACTTCGTGGTCTTCGAGTTCCCAGAACTCCATTCCTGGGCATGATTTTGAATGCCCGGAGCCAACTGTAGGCCACTTCGTGTTCTTCGAGTTCCCAGAACTCCATTCCTGGGCCACATTTTGAATGCTGAGGCAGGCTGATGAGGCTGAGGCAGGCTGAGGAGGCAGGCTGAGGCTGAGGCTGAGGCTGAGGCTGAGGCGAGGCCTGAGGCTGAGGCAGGCTGAGGCTGAGGCTGAGGCAAGCTGATGGAGGCAGGCTGAGGCTGAGGCTGAGGCTGATGCAGGCTGAGGCTGAGGCAGGCTGAGGCTGAGGCTGAGGCTGAAGGCAGACTGAGGCTGAGGCTGAAGCAGGCTGAGGCTGAGGCTGAGGCAGGCTGAGGCTGAGGCAGGCTGAGGCTGAGGCTGAGGCAGGCTGAGGCTGAGGCTGTGACTGCGACTGCCGTTGCCGCTGCGACTGTCATCGCGAATGCGACTACGACTGCGAGAACAGCAGAATTCTACAACTGGATTTTCATCTGAATCTTAAGGGGAATGCTTTCAGATATGCTTCTACACATCGCTGTTAGGTTGCTTTGCCTGTTTTGCGATTTTTTGTTTTTTTTTTTTTTTTTTTTTTTTTTGTTTTGCGATTTTGCATTGTTTTTGCAACGTCGGATCTCAGGGTTGACCGATCCATGCGGTGTCGCCGACCCATCGCCGGCGTCATCGCGGTGTGAGCCCGCCGTGCCCCGATCCCGGGCCCAGGATGGGCCTGGCCTGGATCGGTGCCAGTGCACCATCGTTTGGCGCCCCCGCCGCTGTCGTGGCCGCTGCCGCCGCCGCCGCCGCCGTCGCCGCCGCCGCCGCCGTCGCCGTCGCCGTCAGCGCCATCGCCGCCGCGTCCCAGGACAGTGGTCGCCGCCGTCGCCGCCGCCGCCGCCCATCGCTACCGCCAGCGCCACGCCGCCGCTGTCGTCGCCGCCGCCGCCGCCAGCGCCAGCGCCGCCGCGTCCCAGGACGGTGATCGCCATCGCGCACCGCCTCAGCACCATCCGGAACTCCGGCGAGGTGCTGGTGCTGGAGGCCGGGCAGGTGGTGGAGCGTGGGCAGCACTCCGAGCTGTTGGCGCGGGAGGGCTCCCGGTACGCGTCGATGTGGCAGCGCCAGGCATCGGGCTCGGACCGAGGCTCCAGGTTCCCAGACCTCCCTTGCGTCGTTGGGAGCATCACGCCGGAAGGCGTTTCGCCGTTTTCGGCGTCGACGGGCCCAGGGGCTGCCGGCAGACGACCCGGGATGAGAAGTCGGCCTCGGGGAAGGGGACCAGACCTTTGGGGGTCACGCCGTGACAAGAGTCGTGACGTCGGAGGTCTGGTTTCGAGGATCGAGGTCTTCGGCCGTCCTTGGGCCTCCTGCTTTGCGCCCTCGTGGCCATGGGTTCTCTTCGAAAGACTGTCGGGGGAGCGTAAGACCCGGGTTTGCCGGGACTCGGGTTCGCCATCGTTTTTTGACGACTGCGCCTCGGATTTTGACGAGGAGGAGTTTCGTGGGATGTCTGCAGCGGGAGGCCTCGTCAAAATGCAGGCTCGGCCTCGTCATTTTTTTGACGACCTCGTCGGGGATTTCCGAGTCCCCCGTACCCGGGTCTTACGTCTCCCCGACCCTGGGCCGAGGCCCCCTCGTGCCGAGACCAAGTCGCACAGGAAGGTTGCAGTTCTCGGCCTCTTGGGGCCACCATGCCCTGGGACCGTCGGACGACGGCCCACCCACGAGCCGGCCCCTGCATGGGAAGGGTTCGGGAGGAGGAGGAGGAGGAGGAGGAGGAGGAGGAGGAGGAGGAGGAGGAGGAGGTCCCGAACCTCCAGGGGTGCATGCCGTGAGCAGAAGCGCGGCGTCGGGGGGCCCAGACCCCCGACGTCACGCTTCTTTCGCAGCGTCGACCCCCAGAGGCCTCGACCCCTTTCCCAAGGCCCCGCATCCTCCTCCTCCTCCCTCCTCCTCCTCTTCCTCCTCCTCCTTCTCCTCCTCCTCCTCCTCCTCCTCCTCCTCCTCGGGCAAGCGTCACCGCTGCACGGGCCCCCGTGGCGCTGGGCCCGCCGACCGCCCGGCCCGAGCCACGGCACCGGGGTGCCCGCGCCCCTCCCCGTCGAGCCGCGCCCGCAGGACCGGCTTTTCCTCCTGAGTCGTTTGGACGGTCCCTGGGGCTGGCGAGGGCACCCCGAGCGCCCGTCGTGACTCTTCGGAGGTCGATAGGCCTCCTGCCCTGACACGTCGATTGAGGAATGGGCCGTTTTCGGTTCGCGAGAGGGCGTCGCGGCCGTCATTTTTGTGGATCCAGGTCCGTCGGTTTCGGCCCCAGGCCGTTTTCGCTGAGGGGAGGTTTACTGAAGGGAGGCTGGTCCACCGCCGGGTTCTCTCGCGCGCGCGAGGTAGGCACCGCCACCTGGCTCCTCCTCTGCATGCCCCTCTCGAGGCCAGGCCTGGGTGCACGTGGCCGGGCATCCGCGCATAGGCTGCCGCGTGCTCCGAGATCCGGGCGTTGTACTTCAGGAGGGGAAAAACACACACAGACACAATTAGTCGTCGATTCCCCAGAAGATATGGGAAAGTATGGGAATTGGGCGGGAAGACGAAAACCCAGAAGATATAGGAGAATATGGGGAATCTTTTTATTTGTGTGCATTTGTTTGTGTGTCCTGGGGCCCCTTCAGTACTCGGGCCCCAGGGCCAGCACAGCTCGACCCCGCTTCGGAAGATACCGCAGGTCGGCCACGCGCAGATGGGGGTGGGGGGGGGAGGGGGGGGGAGGGCTTCTTGGAGGCACCTCTGCCTCTCAGAAGGCGCGGGCCTCCCCTGAGCAGATGTGAGGCCGGCGCCCTCTGGGTAGCGGGGGTGCCTCTGAGGGGTCCTCCCCTCCTGCCTCCGCCCCCCCCTCGTGCGCGCCGCCAAGCAGGCCCCTGGGGTCATGATTTTTTCACGACGCGACCCACGGAGGTCCAGACCCATTCCCCAGGACCGGTTTTTCACCCCGCGTCGTTTTTTGACGGTCCCGAGGCCCGGTAAGGGCCCCCAGAGGCCGAATTAGGCCAGGGACGGCAAGGTTTTTCGCTAGTTTAAACTAGCGAAAGACCTCCCGTCGTGATTTTCTCTCGACTCGAGGAGGTGTGGGAAGCGGGCCCCGGGGGTCCAGGGTCTGGGGCTGCGGTTGGGCTTCCGTGCGCGACGTTTTTCTTTCGCGGCGTCGGAGCCTACGGTGAGCAGGCGGCGCGCCCCGGGAGGGAGGCGCGGGAGGGGGGGCCGCCCTGCGCAGCAGGCGGCGGGGCGCCCGAGGAGGCCTGCGCCCCCCTCGGGAGGGAAGGAAAGCACGTACACAATGACTCGTCGATTCCCCGGAAGATTTGGGCAAACCTGGGAAAGTGTGGGGGGGGGGGCAGGCACAAGCCCCGAACATATGGAAAAGTATGGGGGAAACCGTTCTTGGGGGTATTTCTTTGTGTGTCCTTGGGCCCCTTCACCCTCTGCCTTCCCCCACCGGGTGCTCCGCCGAGCAAGGCTGCGCCGCGTGGGCGCAGCCTTCTCTTCCGCGCGGCCAGTGTGCCGCGCGGGCGGCCCGCGCGGGCCACAGCGCAGTGTCGCCGTGTCCTCCGGCTTTTTTGTTGTTTGTTTTGTTTTTTGTTTGTGCTTTGTTTGTTTTGCTTGTTGCTTGTTCTTTTTCCGTTCGTCGCCCGGATGGGCCTGCGAAGGCCCGGCGGCCCCGCCGAGGACGTCTGTGCGCACTACCTCGCCCGGCCAGGGCCACCCTGGGGGCACAGGATGTCGCGAAGGCCCTCCTGGCATCGGCCAGGAGGGCGTCCTCCCCGTACCAGGGCCTGGGCGCGGCGGTGGTGAGCAGGTGCGCTCTGCGCGAGCGGTGGGGCGCAAGAAGAGCAAGAAAAGCAACAGCGCAGTAATCAAACAAAAAGCGAAACGCGAACGCACCTTTTGCGTCGGCGGCTGGGCAGAGGGGCCGCTCCGGCGATGTGTGGCACCAGTGGCTCACACAAGACGCGAGTGAAGCCGCAGGGCGCGCGGGAGGAGAGAGGAGGCTCGGCGCGGGCGGGGGGGAGAGGAAGCCGGGCCCCTCAGAGCACACACACACACACCAGGGCTGGACCCAAACGGTGTTTTGGCGATTTCATGGGCCGCTTTCGTTGCGACTTCGTTTTGCGGCAATGGCGGATTCGAGACAAAAGCGAGGGAAAACGAAAACAAAACGAAAACGAATAACACCGCTTAGGTTCAGCCCTGACACACACACACACACACACACGCATTTCTCCCTTCCCCCGCTCCCAGGCAGCGGGCATCATGGACGACGGCCCCGCGGCGCCGCGTGGCGGCGCAGGCGTGCTCGACGGCGCTTGAGGCACTGCCCTTCTCCAGGCCTCCCACATGGGAGCCATGGGCCATGGGCTTTCCAGCTTCGGCGTCGGCCTGGGCGCCGAGAGGCCTCGCACCCTCGCCGCGCACCCCTGCGGCCCGCTTGCGCTGCTGACGATGGGGCCAGAGGGCCGCGCGGCACCGCACCGCCGACGCCTCGGCGGCGCGGCGCGACCTGGGAGGCCGATCCTCTCCGGTACGGCGTCGCCGGTGCACCGCCGGTGCGTGGGCGGTGCGGTGCGATCCTCCGACGCCGTCCGCCCTGGCCTTCTGTCGGGCGTGTCCCCCTACAGGGGGGTTTTCGACGAAAAATAACAAATATTCCTGAAATACCCCAAAAGGTCAAAACATATCCCAAAAATAGTCACCAGACTATTTTTGGATTATTTCTGGATTATTTACCTAACAGCGAAGACTGATAGGTTTCTAGTTGACTCAAAAGAGCTCACAGATCACTCCACAGGGGGGTCCGGGCAGGTGTTGGGGAGTTGCCGGGCGGCAGGGTGCCGGGCTCGTTTTTCACCAACAGTCACACACTTCGTGCTCTTCGACTTCCCAGAACTCCATTCCCAGGCCACATTCTGAATACCGGATGCAACAGTCACACACTTCGTGCTCTTCGAGATCCCAGAACGCCATTCCCGGGCCACATTTAGAATAACCGGATGCAACAGTCACACACTTCGTGCTCTTCGAGTTCCCAGAACTCCATTCCCGGGCCACATTTTGAATGCCCGGAGCCAACTGTAGGCCACTTCGTGCTCTTCGAGTTCCCAGAACTCCATTCCCGGGCCACATTTTGAATGCCCGGAGCCAACTGTAGGCCACTTCGTGCTCTTCGAGTCCCAGAACTCCATTCCCGGGCCACATTTTGAATGCCCGGAGCCAACTGTAGGCCACTTCGTGCTTTTCGAGTTCCCAGAACTCCATTCCCGGGCCACATTTTGAATGCCCGTAGCCAACTGTAGGCAACTTCGTGCTCTTCGACTTCCCAGAACTCCCATTCCTGGGCCACATTTTCAGCAGGGGCAAGAGCACGACGAGGAGGAGGACGAGCAAGACCAGGAGGACGAGGACGAGCAGGAGCAGGACGAGGAGCAGGAGGAGCAGGAGAAGAAGGACGAGCAGGAGGAGGAGGAGGACGAGCAGGAGGAGGAGGACGACCAGGAGGAGGAGGACGACCAGGAAGAGGAGGAGGAGGAGGAGGAGGAGGGGAGGGGGAGGAGTACCAGGAGGAGGAGGAGGAGGAGGAGGAGGAGGAGGAAGAGGAGGAGGAGGAGGAGGAGGACGAGGACGAGGAGGAGGAGGAGGAGGGGGGGGGAGAGTACCAGGAGGAGGAGAACGAGGACCACCAGGAGGAGGAGGAGGAGGAGGAGGAGGAGGAGGAGGAGGAGGAGGAGAGAACACCAGGAGGAGGAGGACGAGCAAGACGAGGAGGACGAGAACGAGGACGACCAGGAAGAGGAGGAGGAGGAGGAGGAGGAGGAGGGGAGGGGGAGGACTACCAGGAGGAGGAGGAGGAGGAGGAGGAGGAAGAGGAGGAGGAGGACGAGGAGGAGGAGGAGGAGGAGGACGAGGAGGAGGAGGGGGGGGAGAGCACCAGGAGGAGGAGAACGAGGACCACCAGGAGGAGGAGGAGGAGGAGGAGGAGGAGGAGGAGGAGGAGGAGGAGGAGGAGGAGGAGGAGAGAGCACCAGGAGGAGGAGGACGAGCAAGACGAGGAGGACGAGAACGAGGACGAGCAGGAGGAAGAGGAGGAGGAGGAGGAGGAGGAGGAGGAGGAGGAGGAGGAGGAGGAGGAGGAGGAGGAGCAGGAGCAGGAGAAAGAGGAGGAGGAGGAGGAGGAGGCAGGCTGAGGCTGAGGCTGTGACTGCGACTGCCGTTGCCGCTGCGACTGTCATCGCGAATGCGACTACGACTGCGAGAACAGCAGAATTCGACAACTGGATTTTCATTACCTAACAGCGAAGACTGATAGGTTTCTAGTTGACTCAAAAGAGCTCACAGATCACTCCACAGGGGGGTCCGGGCAGGCGTTGGGAGTTGCCGGCCGGGCCTGTGCCGGGCTCGTTTTTCACCAACAGTCA